TTTCTTTCTTTCTTTCTTTCTTTCTTTCTTTCTTTCTTTCTTTCTTTTTTTAAGGCAATTGGGGTTAAGTGATTTGCCCAGGATCACACAGCTAGTAAGTGTCAAGTGTTTGGTCTGAGGCCAAATTTAAACTCCGACCCTCCTGACTTCAGGGCTGGTGCTCTATCCACCGTGCCAACTAGCTGCCTCCAGACAATACTTTCACAAGGGAAATTCATTGCCCTCACCCTTTATGGGGGAATGAGTGGTCACAGAAATTATAAAACAGAATAAGGGGTGCTATTCACACACCAAGAAGTCAATTTTTCATTTTCTTTCTTCCTTCTGTTGACTTGATATTTGGGCTTCCAGGAAAGGAGGAAATCAGCAAGGAAGGGCAAGGGAAAAATCTCATGGACAGAAATTAGAGAAATTAGGTAGGAAATTAGGAGCTGAACTGGAAAAAAAGTTTGGGCTTTATAAGGAGATTCTCTGAGCATGGGATATATAGGAAAACAAGTGGAAGCCAGCACAGCCAGAAGAGGTCTCCATCAGAGAGCATTGATAGAGATGCAAAGGAATCAGGAGAAATGTTCCTGTGCTAATGAGACTTCCACCTATCATAAATACTTTCATGCTAGTGCAGAGGTTCCTGAACTTATTTGGCCCACCAGCCTCTTTTAAAAAAAAAATTACTCAGTGCCCCCTTGGAAATCTACTTTCTTTAACCTTTTAATAGTTTCGTTTTTTGAAATTTGCATCCTTTAAAAAATATAAATTTTTAAAAAAATTATACATCTTAATTTAATAATTTATTGTAAATTTGTGTTTTTTCTGCATTGACATTTTGATGATGCAATATTGTAGTCATGTAACTGTATATTATTGTACTGTAAACAAATCATTATATGCAAATATTCCTGCTGATGCATGCTAGACTTCTCAACAATGCAGACATTCTTGCCTGCCAACATTTGCTTGTTAAGACCTGTTGGCAGACTTGACCAGTGATCAGTTATAACTTGCATTTTGTATGTTTATTTGGAAAACAGTGTAATCACTACATTACACGACAGGTGAAACATGTATAAATGTTTTTTCAAAATTTTCTTATCTTCTCTTCTTTCCTTATGTTACTACCACTCCTTTATTCAGTGCCCCTCAATGCACCTGAGACTACTACCATCCCCCTTGCTTGGATCATTCCAGCACCCTTCAGGGGGGGATATAACCTACTTGGGGAACCTGTGAGAGAGAGAGAAAGTAGATTCTCTTTTGATCATGATCCTTAGATGGAGAGGGAATGCTTCTACCATTGTTCCTTTCCTATGAGTGTGATTGGGATTCTCCCCAGCTGCACACCCACAAATATGACAGGGCAACCATTAGGAAATGATTAGAGACAAATAAATAGGGTTAAGTCTTAGTTGCTTTATTCTATAAAAAATAATGTCCATAATCATAAGATTCTAAATCTCTGAATCAATGAATGCTGTGGTCAGTGAACTGGGATGACAAAACTCAAAACTTTAGGGGCTCATGAAGGCCACAGACCTCATGTTTTAATAATTTAAACAGTATTTCATTTCAGAACCTGTTTTGAACCCTGCCAACTTGAGCTTAATACTAACTGCTTTGTGATGAGAGCACAGAGTGGGGGAAGAGAGTAGCCTCAACGTCTTCTGGCTGAGCACCCTCTGGTGACCAGAATGCATATTGCAATCTCTTAGGAAAGGGTTATATCCAGTAGAGCCCAGAAAAGAATTTACAAGATCACTTGATTGGTGGTTCAAGTAGAGAGCTGCCTAATGGGCAATTCCAACATTGTACTTTGTTGCTAGATAACTATTACAGTGATATATTGTCCTTCTGTAGAATTAAGAAAGCAGCACCACACAACCCTAGGTTTCTTATTAGGAGAAGTTGTCTTATAGATTATTGTTAAAAAATGATTGCTAATATAAATATGACCTACCAGCCTAAGTTGCTGCTATACAACATACAACAGAATGGACTTAATTTTGTCTTTGAACACTCTCTCTCACTGAACATGCCCATCATGGAAAGAAATTAATTATTCTTTATAGTGAAGGAAAACTTACCATGCACCAATGCCTTGTTGAGCCACGATCTTCTTTGCACACTGTATTGCTTTAACAAGGTTGTCTTCCTGAAGTTCTGAAACAGAAATGATAGAAGACATAAGCAAGTTTCAAGTTCATTTAATCTAAAAGAACCAATCCTCCTTGTTAAGGTAGAAGAAACAATATCGTAAGATTATTCTTCCAAATTTTAGATAAATGGGACTGCAGTAGAGAGGCCTGTTCTCTTATTCATCTTCTTCTAGACTTAAATGGAGCACACCACTTTAACCAACTTGACTCAAATTTCTATATCGCTTTAAAGCTCACAAAGTGCTTTTCTCTCCATTACCCTATGAAGCACACAGTTATCCTTATTTTTCAGAGGAGAAAATTGAAATTCAGGAGATGTGATTTGTCCATGGTAACACAAATAGTTAATGTCAATGTCAGAACTTAAAATCACATTTTTTGACTCCAAACCCAGGGTGCAGGGTGCAGGGTACAGGGTGCATGACAGAAGGTTGAAAGTTATTTAAATAAATCAGGAACAAAGTCAGGCATGAATGGAAATACTTTTTCATTATTTTTTTCTTTCAAATTAAAAAGGGCCATGGTTCTTGTCTTTTTTTCTTTTTCTTTTTTTGGTAACTCATCCTTAAAACAAGCTAAGAAGAGGTGAATACTAGGGAGTTGTCTAAGGTGAAATGACTTGTTAGCTGAGGATTTAAGGATTTAAATGCAGGTCTTCTTGTCACCAATTCCAACCCTTTAGCCATTGCATCAAGTTCACTGACCACAGAGAACACCAGCTTGGAAAAAACTCACTTGGGTCACTGGTCACAGAAAACTGGTATAGCATACCTGCACCTCCCAGGCGCATATTCTGGAGCTAAATTACCCAGGTTCAAATCTCGGTTTGGATACTTCCTCCTCCCTCTATGACCTAGGACAAATGATTTTACTTCCCTGGATCTTGCTTTAACCTTCTGTGAGATGAGGGTGATGGATTAGATGGCTTCTGGGATCTCCTCTACATCTATGATCCTATGATGTGGCCTAATAGGATCAGCCTGACTTAGTGAAAATTTCCATTACAGGCATTTTCTAGTCTAAGTCCATCTATTGGGAGAAGTTCATTTAGGTGGCTACCTAAAATGGAAGGAAAATTTGAAAAATTGTGGCCAGTCCTCTTGATTGATCATGTACCAGTCAACAGGACCGAGATATCACACTGTCCTAAGAAGAGATAGCCTTTTTTTTTTTTTGCTTTGTAATAATGAGATAAGGACTGGAATGCTAATTAGAAACTAGGAATTTCTTATTGGCCTTCTAAAGCTTCTTCCCTGGTATAACTTTTTAGGTTGCTTGGCTATCGACCTCGTTGAGCAGTGTCATTGTACCCTAAGTCCATGAGGTTGCTCTTACCTGAACAACGGACTCCACAGCCATTCACTGCGTGTGGTGTCTTGCCATCATTGCACCAATAGTGACTGTTGATCTGAAATATCCCATAATCAGTGCTTCGATCTCCAGGGTTGTAGTTTGTAGCTTTGGTGTTAAAACCACTCTCCCACTGTGCCAAGCACACCCCTGTGAAGAACTTATTTTAATAATGATTACTTCATATCCAATCAATTATCCAAGAAAACCAATACTCTTGAATTGATAATCTTCCTTTATCACTGATATAGTCTATAGGTGGTGCAGTGGATAAATCGTAGGTACTGGAGTCAGGAGGACGTAAGTCCGAAACTGACCTCAGACTCTTTCTAGATGTGTGACCCTGGGCAAGTCACTAAATCCTGTTTGCCTCACCTCACCTGTAAAAAATAATGAGCTGGAGAAGGAAATGGCAAACCACTCAAGTGTCTTCGTCAACAAATCCCCAAATGGGGTAGCTGAGAGTCAGATGTGATTGATACCACTCAATAGGAATGAAGCATTACTTTTGCTGGAATGAGCTAACGGTTAAGTTTTCAGTATGAGCTTTTATAGTTCATAAATAGGCAAGCACCCAAAGAAATGGAAAGAACAAGAACAAATCCTACACTTCTTTGAAAGTGTCACCCACATTCTTAACCCTCCTTTCCTATTCATTGCGGAGAACCATAGGAAATCAGACTTACAGTTAGCCAGGCTGATACCACGGTACCCATCCAGTTGTTGCTTTATTCTTCTGGCAAAGTCACATCTTTCTAGCGTCACGCCATGGACTGTCACGGAGAGGGAGATGAGCCCCAGAAGAAGGAGTACCTTCATGTCGCCTGAGTAGTCAAACTGCTCAAAGTGCCCAGGCTGAGATGAGCCCCAGTATTTAACTTCTCTCTTAAGTTCCTCTTCCTTGTTGTTTAAGGGCTCTGCAACCTAGGCAGAAATCGAGATCTATTTATTGCTACATTTCACCACTTCCTCTGAAGGCACAAGAATTAGCACATGGCATGACATGGTAATTCTTCCTCTACCCCAAAGGCCAATGAGGGTGAGGAGAAGGGGACAGATTCTGTTTTCCTGGTGTTACACCAGACTTATCAAACCTTAATTGAACTGATTTACTAGTGAATCAGAGTGTAACATAGGAAGATAGGGTTCAGATGACAGGCTAAAATCCACTTTTCTCAAGGCTAATGCCAAATCAGAGTCAGAGCATCATAGAAAGCTTTAATAGGTGAAAGCCAAGGATAATCATGTTCCCCATATACACAAGACAAAGGAGTCAGAGATCACAGAATTTCAGAGCTGGAATAGAGTCCAACCCATTCCCAACCTATATTCAAGTACAATCTTCTCTGCAACACAAGTGATGAATAGTCATACAACCTCAGCTGGAGTCCAAAATCGATTTCCATTTTAACAACTTTGAAACTTTTATTTACTTCATTGGAGATAATATATGCAAACCAATTCTTAAGACTATAATCCCTATATAAATATCAGTAATTATTATTACTAAATGGGAAAGAACTGAAGCATGGATATTGCAAAATGGAAAATTATTTAATAATTACTTTATATTTGGCTTTAAAATGTTTTAAATATTCAAATGAGGGTCATCAGGAAGGAATAGATTCAATTTTTCAGTCACTGTGGAAACTGCAGAGCTAGGAGCAATGCATGGAAATCACAAAATGATAGATTTCAGTTCATATGAGGAAAAAAGGTTGCTAATAATTAGAGCTGTCCAAAAGGAGAACGAGTAACTCCAATAAACTCACTATGCTATTCATTATAGCTTGTATTATTGAAAGAGAAATTCTTCATTTGCACTTTCATCCTGATTAAGGGCAAAGAGAATTAAAGTTTGTTACAAGTAGGTCAAGGTAGCAACACATCACTGGAGATCAGTGATGGCTTCAAGGTTAGGCCAGTTTTTATTGGGAGCTTTCATAATGAGTAAAGGCAATTCAGATAGGTCAATGTCATCAAAAGAGGTTGTGTCCTTGCATCACAGGTAATGCAAAAAACTGCAGACTTGACTTCTCTTTGTCTTTCCCAACAGAGCCTCCCTCAACCCTGATTAACAAGTTGGGCTGGGAACAATGAGTCACTGAGTCAACATAATCTTCAATGCTATATACCTCATTCTGTCTTCTAATACTGTCACCCTCGTGGCATAGACCCTCATCACTTCACACCTGAACTACTCTAAAATGTTTGTGTCCCTGCCTCTTGTCCCTCCCTACTCCAGTCCACCCTCTACTCATCTTTCAAATTAATCTTCTTAAAGCACAGGTCTGACTATGTCACCTCACTCTAACCCCATTCAATAAACCCAGTGGCTCCCTGTAACTTCGAGCATCAAATATAAAATCCTCTGCTCAGTATTCAAAGCCCTTCCACAACCTGGCTCCTTCCTAATTTTCCAGTTTTTTTACACTTTACTACTATTCTGTGATCCACTTCCATTTGCCTCTTCCTTCAACAAGACACCCGATCTCTTGACTCTGGGCATTTTCCATGGCTGTCCCCCACATCTGCAATGCTCTCCATGCTTATCGCTACCTTCTGGCTTCCTTCAAGCTGCAGATAACATTCCACCTTCTACAGGATGCTTTTCTTGACCTTTCTGAAAGCCATTGCTTTCCTCTCCGGGTTATCTCCAATTTATCCTGTGTATAGCTTCTTTGTACACAAGTGTTTGCATGCTGTCTACCCTTTTAGACTTTGAGATCCTTGAGAACAAACACTCTTTTGCTCAGTACTTTGCACAATGCCTGACCTTTAGTAGGTACTTAATAAATGCTGGTTGACCAATTGGCTAAGACATTGTCAAGAAGTAACTAGCTTTTCAGGCAGTGAGGTCTCAGAGACGATAGAGTGCCAGGCCTGGAGTCAGGAAGACCCATTTTCCTGAATTCGAATCTGGCCTCAGAGACTTACCAGCTCGGTGATGCTAGGCAAGTCATTTAATCCCATTTACTTCAGTTTCCTCATGTGCAATGTGAGCTGGAGGAGGAAATGGCAAACCATTCCAGTATCTTTGCCAAGAAAACCCCAAAATGTGCTCAGGAACAGTCAGAAATGACTGAAATGTCTGAATAATAAAAATGAGACCTCATTAACAGAAGGCAGAGGCTGCATGACCACTTCTCAGGAATATTGTTGAAGGGAAGGGAATCTGTTCAGGTATAGATCCCTTCTGAAATCCCTTCCAGTTCCTACTAACTTTATTATCTTGTCTATATCTCTTCATTGTGTCCAAAAGGATACCATGAAGCACTTTGTCAAATGCATTGTCTAAATTCCTAAACTCTATGTGTGTGGCATTCTCTTGAGCAAAAACAGATGTACCAAAATATATGGTTAATTTGGTATGGATTGCTCTTAATGAACCCATGATGAATCGTAGCCATTATCATTTCCTTTTCTGAGTACTCACAAACCATCATTTCAATGATCTGTTCCAGAATTTGGGGATGAATGTATAAGGTATAAGAGGACTGGAAAGGGGGGAAGAGGAGACCATGAAGGGATTTGAGGGGTTTAATCACCAAACAGAGAGTGATTAAAAATTTGAAAAAGATAGATATTAAAGCCAGAAGCAAGAGGAGGAGTTGGGGGATGAATATAATGCCATGGAATGACTTGTAAGAATGGTGTCAAGAGTACAGATCACTGAAGATCAGAGGGAGCTGAGGTGGGAGTTGAAATATAAGCACAACAAAATGGGCTTTCAAAACAGTATACCACTTCTACCCAGGCAGGTGGGCATTTCTCTGAAGGACAGCCTTGTGATGCTGAGTACATTGGCCAAGAGACCTTTGAGCCTGTGACGTTGAATATAAGCATCCATGAGGGACATGGGACTTCAGCTTTCAGAGAGTGAAGCAGGAATCCTAGCCAAGATCCCCCATGTAACCTATATAGACCCAGATCCTTATCCCAACTCCTATTTGCCAACACCAAGTTGTTAGGACCAAAGCTCTGCCTTCTTTGAGGGCTAGGGAGAGTCTTGCTTCTGTTTTCAGCAGAAGCCCTTTTCTAGTGGGTTGCCCCTCCACTATCAATCTCCATTAACAGTTATTTCCTCCTTATTGTCACCACTACCATTGATTTGTTGTTGCTGTTGATGAGTCAATTTACCATGACCTCATTTGGGGGTTTTATTGGCAAAGGTACTGGAGTGGTTTGCCATTTCTTTCTCCAGCTCATTTTGCAGATGAGGAAACTGAGGCAAATGGAGTTAAATGACTTGTCCTGGGTCACACAACTAGTAAGTGTCTACAGCCAGATTTGAACTCAGACCTTCCTGACTCTAGGACTAGGACTCTATCCATTGCACTACCTAGCTGTCCATCACTGATTAGCATCCCACTATCTTATTTCCTCAACATCATTGATAACCAGTTAGCATCAATTAGCATTTACAAAGTCATATTTACTGAAAAGATAATAGCAAAAAACTGTGAACTGTTTCCTGAAAAAATTACACAGAAACCAAATACAGAAGAGAAAGGATTATGAGCTCCTTGAGGGGGATTGACTTCTGCTTTTTTTTTTGTAAACTTGAGGCTTAACACAGTGCCTGGCACCTTATAGGCACTTAATAAATGTTTATTCATTGATTGATTGATTGATTGAGTGATTGGATGGCCTCCCTCTTTCTGTTGACTCTATGTCGATAAAAGCCATATCTAAAGATGATAAATGATAAAAATCCTTTTTTGTCAAATTTTCATAACTTTCTTATTGGCAGTGATAATGATTGACATGTCCATCTGCTATGGTAGCCATGGGCACTCCCTAAAGCCTGGATTTGGGGACTTGTCTAAGAATTGTGCCCAAGGAACTGCTTAGGACATTTTATATGGAATTTGGGGATCCATTGGATTTTGTGGGATTTCTTGGTGCAAGGTAATGGGGAATGCATCTGATGGGAAAATGCCTGATCCTTCCCAGAACACTAGAAATCTTTTTGGAATTGGGCTATGGATAAAAGTGCCAGTGACACCCCAGTTGATTTGCTGAGAAAAGGAGAAGCTACATCAATTTTCAATTTTTAAAATAGTTTTTCTTTTTCCTGTGAATTATAATTCTTTCTCTCTTGAATTTCTATTGAGGGATGAATGAGGACCGCTGTGGGATTAGAATAGGCGGACAGCAGCATCTGTCATATTATGAGGAACCTAGTGGCAACTGGGAAAGGTGGGGGTTCCCAGGGCAGCCCACAGTGGAATGGCCCATGTCCCAGGCACCAATGGCAGCAGAGTAAGCAGCCATGCAGGTCTCAGGGGAATGGCCCTTGCAATAGACATTGGAAAAGGCAAACCTAATGTAACCCTTTGCTTATTGTAATCTAGAACTGATGGGACCCCTCCATGCTGCTGCTATTACAGTATGCATTGGACAACTCTTCCCTAGGAAAGGCTTAGAGGATCAAGGGGTGGCTGTTGGGAGGTAGCTTGCTTTCTGGTGATGGCAGGGAAGGGGGGATATTGATTCAGCCTGCCTTGAATAATGTAGGCAGTCTCTCCCTCAGCTGAGGTCTCTAAAAGGGTAAAGATTTGGTTTTTCATATGCCCAAAGGGCTATAAAACTGTCCATACCCTTTGACCCAGCAATACCACTTCTAGTTCCATACCCCAAAGGGATCATAAAAATGTGGAGAGGACCCACATGTACAAAAATTTTTATAGCAGCTCTTTTTGTGGTGGCCAAGAATTAGGAATTGAGGGAATGCCTATCAGTTGGGGAATGACTGAAAAAGGTGTGGTACATGAATATAATGGAATACTATTGTGCTATAAGGAATGATGAGCAGGCGGACTTCAGAAAAAATTGGAAAGATTTATATGAACTGACACTGAGTGAAATGAGCAGAACCAAAAGAACATTGTTCACAGTAACAGTCACAATGTGAGATGATCAACTTCGATGGACTTATCTCTTCTTAGCAATGCAAGGATCCAAGACAACTCCAAAGAACTCATGATGGAAAATACTGTCCACATCCAGAAAAAGAACTATGGTGTCTGAATGCAGATCAAAGCATATTATTTGCTCTGTCTCTCTTTCTTTCTTTCTTTTTTTTTGTTTATTTCTTCTTTCTCATAGTTTCTCCCATTGGTTCTAATTCTTCTTTACAATATGACTAATGTGAAAATAAGTTCGATATGAATGTATATGTAGAGCCTATATTATATTGTGTGCTGTCTTGGGGTGGGAGTAGGGAAGAGATGGGAAGAAAATTTGGAATGAATATCTTATGGAAGCAAAAGTTGAAAACTAAAAATAAATAAATAAACTTAATAAAATTTAAAAAAAAGGAGTTGAACCAAGGCATTTCCACTTTAATCCAAAGGAAAAAAGAAGTCCAACTGGGATTTAATAGAAACTGGGATTTAATATATTCATATATTACATATATGAATTTATAAATATATATTAATTATATATGCTATATATAATACTTGCACAATGATATTAAACATATTTTCACATTTGTCATTATGTAAAGAATTAGAACCAAAGGGGAAAACTACAAGAAAGAAGAAAATTAAAATTAATCCCAAATTAAAAAGAAGAAATTAAAGGGAGAGAAAGAGAGAGGGAGAGAGAGAGAGAGAGAGATAGTAGTATTCTTTGATCGGCATTCAGACACCGTAGTTCTTTCACTGGTTGTGGGGAGCATTTTCCATCATGAGTCTTTTGGAATTGTCTTAGATCCTAGTATCGCTGAGAAGAGTTAAGTCTATCAAAATTGGTCATTGCAGTGTTGCTGCTGGTGCTGCTGTTTACGATGTTCTCCTGGTTCTGCTCACTTCATTCAGCATCAGTTCATGTAAGCCTTTCCATTTTTTTTTTCTGAAGTCCACCTGCTCATCATTTCTCATGGAACAATATTTGACCTGGTTACAGCTAATTGGAAACAGCTGAGTGGAGAAGGGGAAATTCAGAGAAAAAGAGCCCTAGGAGGCCTTCCTGCTTCTGTTTGTGCTGGCTGCATCCCTTGAGGAAGCTCCTATTGCCTCAAGGGGAGTTGATTGTATAATAAACTGTCTGTGGGTATTGAGCAACTAAGAACAGGTGCAAATGTACTCTGTGTCTTTAACACTCATGCCCTGAATATCGTAACTTATGTAAATTGTGGTTTGTTAAATTTTCAGTTCTTGTATTTGAGGTCAGTCAGGCAATAAGCATTTCTAAACCACTTTCTGTCCCAGGCACTGTGGTAAGTGTTGGGGATTCAAAGAAAGGCCACAAGAAAGAGCAGTAAGACTCTATGTACAGGATAAATAGGAAATAATTAAGAGAGGTGGCACAAGAATTCAGAGGGATTGGGGAAGGCTTGCTGCCTTCTAGCTGGGACTTGAAAGCAGTCAGGGGAGCTTGGAGGAGATGAGGAGGGAGAAGATTCCAACCCTGGGGGGCAGCTATAGAAAATGCCCAGAGTCGAGAGATGGAGTGTGTTTCACTTGGAATAGCAATAAGGCTACTATTACTGGATGGAAGAGGAAGTGGGGGCATTTAAGAAGTAAGAGGACTAGAATGATTGGGGTGGGGTTAAGTTATGGAGGGCAGTGAATGCCCCCAAAAGAGGCTTTTGTATGTGATCCTAGAGGTGATAAGGAAACCCTGGAGCTTACTGAGTTGGGGGTAGGAGGGGAATATGGTTGAACCTCAGCTTTCAGAAAACTACTTTGGTGGACCAATGGAGGATTGATTAGAGTGAGGAGAGAATGGAGGCAGGCAGTCTCACCAATAGGCTCTCATGATGGTCCACATGTAAAGTAATCGAGGGGCTGCACCAGGTTGATGGTTTTATCATAGGAGAGAACGGGGAGTATTTGGGAGATGTTGCAAAGGGTGAAATTATCAGACCTTGGCAAGAGATTGGATGTTGGTGGTGATGAGAGAAAGTGAGAACTCAAGGATGACATCTAGTTTGGAAGTCTATGGGACTGGAAGGATATCGCTGCCTTCAAAGGTCTTAGGGAAGTTTGGAAGGGGAATACTTTTAGGTAGAAAGATAATAAGCTCAGTTTTGGACATATTGAGTTTAAGATGTCTGTGGGACATCTGGTTTGAGATGTCTGAAAAAATCAGAAATGTGAGACTCCGGAGGTCAGCAGAGAGATTAGGGCTTGGAAATCATCTATATAAGAGATAATAATTGGATCCATGGCAGCTGATGACCAAGTGAAACCCAATAGGAAGCCCAGTGATTCTGATGCTGCTTCAGTTTGTCCTCACTGCTTCCATTGGGAGACCCTCCATGAATGGCACAGGGTTGGCATCACCCACCTCATAGCCCAGATTATTAACCTCAGGGACTCAGCCCTTCTCAAGAGGAAGATGAAGCCTGGGGTTTCTGCTCTTTTTTCTGCTCTATATGCTGTCTGGTGTATTGCTTCCCTTTGTCGTGTTTTTCCTTTGGGTGTTATTGTTATCTCTCTGTTTTAACATTTCTTTACCTACCCTGGTGCTACCTACACCAGGTGACTCACACCCCCAGATGTGCCCAGTATTGGACCTCAAGCTATTTTAAGTGATGACAGATTCTGTGGGAGACTTGTAAGAACTTACCATGAAAGGGTGTGGTTTAGTAGAAGCATAACAGCTATATAGGTTATGCTAGTTGTTTTTTTTTTTAAATAGCATCAAGCCATCTTCCAGGTTTGATTTCTCATGCCACTAAGGTTCAGGTCATAGTTGTTGGCTTAGTTTCCTGGTGGCCTAAGAATAAAAATCACCCCTAAAACAAGGATGCCTGGGGTGGCTCTTCCACATGTTTGACTAGAACATCAGCACGGCCATCACCGAGGCAGAGAAACTCTGCTCAGTGGAATTCATGATTTAGTATGAGTAAGCAGTTTTTTGATGTAGAAATGAAAACTGTAGATACTCCTATGGAAAAATGTTCTAAATCATTATTGATTAGAGAAATGAAAATTAAGACAACTTTGAGATATCATCTCACACCTATCAGATTGGCTCAACTGATAGATGCCCTTCAATTGGGGAAAGGCTAAACAACTTGTGGTGTATGATTGTGATGGAATACCACTGTGCTATAAGAAATCATGAGCTGGTTTATTTTAGAAAAACATGGAAAGGCTTGCGTGAAAAAGTAACGAGCGAAATAAGCAGTATAAAGGGAAAGATGTACAAAGTAACAGAAATACTGTCCTAGCAATAACTTCGAATGACTAATTTACCTTGAGTATCATAAATACTCAAGTCAACTACAAAGGACCTATGAAGGAAGATGCTATCACCTCTGGAGAAAGAGTTGATAAACAGAAGTATGTATAGTATAGTTTTACACACACACATATACACACAAATATATGTGTGTGTGTGTGTGTGTGTGTAAGTGCACGCTTATGTATATATCTGTATATCTGTTTAATTGTAGTCTTCTCTAGGCAGAATGGGGAAGGAGGGGCAAAAAAAGTACACAGAGAATAAACGAACACTTACAGGGAAGTACAGAAAAGCTGGATAACTTTGAAAACAATGTGTAGTGTTTATTACATTTTCAAACAAAAATAATCTGAAATGGAAATTCAGAATTTTTTATTGAATCCTCTCTTTATGTTCTGCTGTGTACATCTAAATGTTATCTATTTTCTCTTTTTGTATTTAAGTTTAAAGTTATGAAAGTACCTTTGAGATTAATATGTCTGTTTTCTATAAGTTACCTTACCAGGCAGGAGCACTGGACACAGAGTAAGCCTGTTTGCTGCAAGGAGCCAAGCAGGAGTCTGTACTGTGCCACAGTCTCGCTCACTCCCAGATGCCTTTATTGGTGTTCCCTTTCTGACCTTGTGGAGCTGTACCCAAACCCTACCCTGCCCCAAACCAGTCTTGCAGTCATGCAGTCTTGCAAAACATCTTGCTTCTGTGTCCCATTTGTTCCTGACGAAAACTGTCCATTCTTTTCCCCAATTCCTCCCCAAACCTCCCCTTTCTGGTTTTCATGTGTAAATCTTCCCTGGCTCTACTGGGCTGTGGGCTCCTTTGTACTTTGCACTGTGGTGCCTCTGCACTAGTGTCTGATTTTCTTCCTAATAAAACTTTTCTGCTTTCAACTCAGCTTGAACTTCTCTGCAATTTGGAGGGGTGGGCTTTGCCCACTTGACATAATGAAACAAAAAGAAATTGTAATAAATGAGAAAGCAAGGGAAGATGACATGGAGTTTTGAGACATGGAAAAGGGTAGGAGAGAGTTTGTGGTGATTGACTTCCATTTTCTCGGTGAAGTTTGAGACAAGGTACTTTACTGAAATAGAAGGAGGAGGAGGTGGTGTGGCAGGCTTGAGGAGAGGTTTAGAACAGGTTCTCTAGGGAATGTAAAAGAGAATTAATTTTAGAAGATAAAAAGACTGCTTTACTGTATTAAACACCCAGTTGAGATTCAATCACATATATTTGAATTGGACCCAATCAACTGGGTCATGTAACTTCCTCTAGCAATAGCATGTCTGTGGGAGTGAAGAAAACAGATGGGAGGCTGAGGGCAGGGCGGTAACCCAGGGTTGGGATTTCACCAGGCATGAATAGTAATAAAATAAGGGATTAAGGTATTAGAAGCTATAGTTGAATGGCAAGGTTGAAATTGGGAAAGGAGGAAACACTGACTGAAGGAGGGACTGGAGATCTCTGTGAAGATAAAGAATATTTGCCTCTTGCATATCGTCCTCTTTCAAAATCAGGACATTGCTCTTCCTCAGTACTGTGGCCACTCTTCTGTTCTGCACAATCTTTCAAAGGTCAATGGTGTAGTAATCCCAACTAATTCAACAATTTGACAAGCGTTTATCAGACATCTCCTATGTTAATAAAGTACAGGGAAAGATGGAATGATAATTAGTCATGTTGAGATAGACATATTTTAGAGGTTTTTCATTTTCAAAGAATTTTGTATTGATATCTTTTGTTTTTGCATTATTTCTCAATATATCTCCTCCTCATTCCCCTATCCAGATAACCATGGTGCTGACAGATTACATGGAGCAGTAGCTACACAAAGGGATCAATGAGCACTGAGTAACCTTTAATGGAGGAGGGTTTGTGGAGTGATGGCAGAGGAGGGTCTGTAATTGGCAATGTTGAACAACTGTGGGGAGTATATGAGAAGGTGCATCCAGTAGGAGGGAGGGAGGCCAGGGATGCAGTGTCTTCTGGAAGTGTTCTGTGATTCCTAGAACATGGAAGGAGTGGGAGAGGTAAAAGTGTAAGATGAAGGGAAGTTTGTTAATGATCAAATACAAGAAAATTCAAGAATGAGCAAGGAAATAGCTGACAGAGCTGGATTGGGGGTTGAGAGGGGACATCCTGGGGTAAGTGGGAATGAGAGAATGGGGACAAGTAGCAGGGGAGAGGGTGATTTTTATGTAGGCAGCTAGGGATTCTGTGTAACTAGGACTGGGAGGGGAGGTGGTAGGAGCTGGCAGGCCATCTGATGTGGAGATGTATTTACTGGCGCTTTTACCTTAAGAGTTTGTGAATGGCTAAGAGTAAATTCTGTTGTCTTTCAAGGCTAAGAAAGAAATTATATAAATCTTAGTGTTAGCAGCACATAGGTGAGGTACTGACAGCGAGAAATCTGATATCTGAGTCTTTCATCCTAATCTCTTTAGTAGAGGCCTTTTGTTGAAGTAAGTATTGATCATGGAAGTAATGAGTTTAGGCTCTAAACCCATCATATTTTAGAGTATACAAAGCTGAGAAGAATAGCTATAATCTTAAATGGTTGAATGAGGTACAAAAGGTCTTAAGAGCCTGGAAAGTGAGTTTTTGAGTTAAATTATTTCTTATTCTTCCTTGACCTGTCTGTTCCATCTATATACTTATTATTATTATTATTTTTTTTTTTGTTGTTGTTGTTGAGGCAGTTGGGGTTATGTGACGTGCCCAGAGTCACACAGCTAGTAAGTGTTATATGTCTGAGGTTGGATTTGAACTCAAGTCCTCCTGACTCCAGGGCCAGTGCTCTATCCACTGTGCCACCTAGCAGCACCCCCATCCATATACTTTTAAGGTTTGCAATGTTTATATCTATATCTAAATCTATATCTATGTCTCTATCTATCTATCTATCTATCTATCTATTCATTGTTTGAACCTCACGACATTTACTTTTCTACTTTGTGACCAGTACCAAATACTGTTCTTATTTTATAATACAGTTGGAGGTCTGGAAGTGTTATTATTGCATCATTCCTAATGTTTAAAAATCATTTCCTTTGGCATTCTAGATTATTTTCTTTCTCCAAATTAATTTTCTTATTGTTTTGTCTGGATCTCTAAATCATCCCTTTGGTATTTTGATTGGTATTTGAACATATCTGTATATTAAGTTTGGTAGTATTTTCATTTTTATTAAATAAGCATGGCCCAGACATGGGCACTGACTATTTCTCCTGAATATCAACATTTTGAAGAAAAAATTTGAGCAAAATGTCATAATTTTGAGCTAAATGCATATAAACGTGTGTATATCTCTATTTATTAATTCAGATGTGATTCTTGAATATAATCAGTCTCTTCTTTTCATACTTTGCATTGTGTAGTTGCCTAATCAAGATACACCCACTTCTTCTTTTTAGTAGTTTCCACTGATGTCTGAAGAGATAGCGGTGACAGGCACTGCCAGGTCAGGATTTCACCTTGCACACATTCACTTTAAGATGTGGCCTCTGGAAACAAGTTTTTTCAAGAACTGAAGAATTTCTATATTCATGATACTAAATTGTCTCTTCACACCCAAACTTGAACAACATGGAGGTTTGTGTGATAACCAGACAACTTTGCTTTCAGTTTGAGTGTTCCTGGAAATCTAAAAAAAGTAGCCAGGCATTAAACCATTATTAAACATTGTCTTTTGAAAACTAGTTGCTTCATTCTGTGTCAACTTTATTTGAGAAAATGATGTGTAAGATAAAAAATACAATATTTGATTTGCAAAATCTTCTTTATAGGCAGAAGAATCATGATGAGTTGTAGGAACTAAAGATGGTGGTTACAGATGACAATCTGTGAAATATTTGGAAACATCATTTCCTTGGTAATTGTTTTGCCAGCTCATCCTACAGAGAAAGGTAGATGAAGCAATGATAAAATTAGCAAAACTACCCTTGAATAAATATTCATTTTGATATGCACGCATATGGAGACATGCGGTAACATTTATGAATGGCAACTATGTATTTCAAAATGAAAAAAAAAATAAAAAAAAACAGAAAGTCCTAGAAGAAGTCACTAATTAGGCTTGGCCCTCTCATTTTTAAAAAGAGGATTGGGCTATTGGATTTCCAAAGTTTCTACTGAGTCTCAAACTTAAGTGATTCTTAGTGTTGAGGCAACCGATAAATGAATCCACTATTCTATATTCTGACCAAACTAGACTCTTTAGTATTTCCTGTTCTTGTCCCAATTCCTACCATCTCTGTGCTTTTGATCGTGGTACTCCTCATGCATAGAATGGTCACCCACCCCTGCCCTACCATTTTTACCATATAAAATCCCCTCTTTCCTTCAAGGTTCACTCATTCCATGTTACCTCCTTGCTAAACTTTCTCAAGATCCATCCAAGTGAAAGTGATCTCTCTCTTCAAATTTCAACTGATATTTTTTCTGCATGTCTGTTTTACATCTAACACATTCTACTTCCTAACAAAACCATTTGAATATTTTCTCTTTTTCTTCCTCTTTGGTTGTAAGCTTCTTGGAGTTAGAGTTTATCTTAAGTATGTAATACATTGTCTTTATGTTACTGAAATGAATTTTATAAACTGTACCTACTGAACACATTACCCAATGCTGAAGAAATCTATTCAAAATATATTAACAGCACCTGAAGAAGTATGCCTCTACCCTACCCAACACCAGCTCTTATTATTATAGAGGATGAGGATACCAAAGACCTCATATTTTAATATTTTGAACAACATTTCATTTCAGACCCTTTTTTGAACCCTGGCAGCATGACTTTAATACTAGCTGCTTTGTGCTAAAAACACAGCCAGAGCATGACTGGAGGGTGAGCAGACTAGCCTTAACATCTTCTGCCTGAGTACCCTCTGGTGACCAGCATGCATATTGCAGCCTCTTAAAAAAGGGTTATCTCTAGTGGAGCCCAGAAGAAGGACTTTCAAGATCACTTGATTGGTGGTTCAAGTAGAGAGCCTCCTAGTGGGCAATTCCAACATTGTACTTCCTTGCTGGATAATTAGTACAGTGATAATATTGTCTTTCTGTACAATTAGGAAAGCAGCACCACCCAACCCTAGGATTCTTATTAGGAGGGGTTGTGCTACAGATTATTATTAAAAAATGATTGCTAATATGAATATACTCTACCACCTTAATTGATGCTATACAATACAGAAAAGAATGGACTTTATTTTAGCTTTGAACACCTTCTTTCACTGAACATGCTCATTATTGAAAGACATGAATTATTATTTTTAATGAATGAAAACACATAATGCCTGCATGCCTTATCGAGCTACGATCTTCTTCATAGAGTTTACTGCTTTAATGAGGTTATCTGACCGAAGTTCTGAAAGAGAAATGAAAGCAGGCATAGGCAAATCTCAAGTTCATTTTATCTAAAAGAAATAATTTTACTCACTAAGGCAGTAGAAACAATATTGTAATATTGTTCTCCTAAATTTCAGATTAATGGGACTGCAGTAGAGAAAGGCCTGTTCTTTCATTCATCTCCTTCCAGACCTAAGTGGAACACAGTACTTCAATCAAACTGACTGGAATTTCTATATGACTTTAAGGCTTACAAAATGCTGTTCTCTCCATAACCCTGTGAAGCAGGCATTTATGCTCATTTTTCAGGTGAGATAATTGAGACTCACAGAAGAGGTGTGAATTGTCCATGATCAAACACATAGTCAATGTTAATGTCAGAACATAAAGCCAGGCATCTTGACTCGAGGCCCAGGGTCTGGGTGCATGATAGCAGGTAGAGGGTCATCCATATAAAAAGTCAGGAACAAAGTCAGGCATGAATGAATGAAATTCAAATTTAACAAGGGCAAAGAATTATTATTACCATTACTATTATTATTATTATTTGGTTAACTCATGCTTAAAACAAATTAAGAGGAGATGAATACTAGGGAGCTAAGTTGAAGTGACTTGTGCATGATCACTTGCGACAGGTGAAGGATCTGAACCCATGGCTTCCTGTCACCAATGCTAGCTTTCTAGCCACTGCCCCAAGTTGAATGGCCACTCAGAACAGAAATTTGGAGGAAAAAAAAACATCTCTTGGTTCACTGGTCACAGAAAATAGGGCTGGAAGTAGCATAGCTATACCTCTGAGGCACAGATTCTGGAGCTAAGAGACCCAGGTTCAAATCTCACCTTGGGAACTTTCACCTCCTTGTACGACCTTGGACAAATCACTTTACTTCCTTGGACTTCACTTTAACCATCTGTGAAACTAGGGTGATGAACTAGAAGACTTCTAAGATCTCCTCTACGTCTATGATTCTTTAGTGTTGCCTAATAGGATCAGCCTGAATTGATGAAAGTTTCCATTACAGGCATTCCCTAGACTAAGGGCTTTTCATGGTGGCATTATTTGAAAAGAGAATTTGAAGGATCGTGTCCCTTCCTTCTGATTGACTGATTACATTCCAGTCAAAGGACTAAGAAATGATAGATACTCTATCTCTAAGAAGAGACTGCATTTTTGGGTTTGGGAATGATGGGACAGGGACTGGAAAGTGAATTAGAAGCTAGCAGTTTCTTAAGCTTCTTCCCTTTTGTAAGATTTTCACTTGCATAGCTATCTACCTTGTTGAGCAGTGTCATTGTGCCCTAAATCCATGAGCTTGCTCTTACCTGAGGCCCTTAACTTTACACTCATTTGATGCATTTCGGGTCTTGCCATTGTTGCATCACTAGTGACTGTTGATCCGAAATATCCTTTAATAAGTACTTTTATCTCCAGGGTTGTAGAGTGTAGCTTTGGTGTTCAAATTTCTCTCCACCTCTGCCAAGTGCCTCCCCGCAAACAATTTATTTTAGTAGTGATTACATCATTTCCAATCATTTTTGTCGATGTAATCCTCCTTGATCACTGATATAGTCTACAGCTGGTGCAGTTAATGGAGCACTGGCCCCGAAATAAAGAGGACCTGACCTCAAATTCAATTTTAGACACTTTCTAGCTGTGACCTTGGGCAAACCACTTCACTCTGCCTCAGTTGTGTGTGTGTGTGTGTGTGTGTGCACGTATACATTCACATACATAAATAGATGTACATATATATAAATATGTCTATATACACATACATACATACATACTCGTATACACATATATACATACACATAGATACACTATATGTATATGTATGTCTATATCTATATGGCAGACCACTCCAGTATCTTTTTCAAGAAATCTCCAAATAAGGTAGCTGAGAGTCAGACATGATTGAAACCACTCAACAGGAATGAAGTATTACTTTTGCTGGAGTGAGCTGACGGTTAAGTTTTCAGGGTGAGCTTTTATACTTTGGAAATAGGCAAATCAGGGCTTAGCCTACTCTTTTTTTCCATTGTCTAGACTAAAGAAATTGATGGAGGAAATATTAATGGTACAGATTAAACTTTAAAGTGTGTCCTGTATAAATTTAAAGCATTATTTAGATGGTAGTTCTTATTTTTCTGTTGTTGTTAATGTATATCCTTAGATTGCTTTCAAAGTCCTTGATAAGCTGGCTCTACTTTTACTTTTCCAGTTTCTTCTATTCATTGACATTGACTTCTTCGGTCTTCCTTGAATGAAAAATTCTGTCTTTTGATTCTGATTGTTTTCACTGACTGTTGCTGTGTCCAGTAAGGAGATTACAGGAACATATCAGAAAGATCATGCACTATGACCAGGTGGGATTTATACCATGAATGCAAAGGCATTGCTGTATTAGGAAAACTATCACCATAATTCTGGAGAACAATTTGGAACTTTACTAGACAGAGATAGGAATTGTTATCTCTACCTTGGGTACCTCAATACTAGAGTGCAGAAGCACTTTTGATGAACTATATACTGAGGCAGAAGGGTCTTTTTAGTCAGAATTTCTGATTCTTGCACAAAAGTCTTGAACTCTCTTCTAAGAGAGACCACCTTCTCTAAGTGACTACTTTATGACAGGGAATGCTTTTATATTGTGCCATCCTGTAAGGCTTCAGTGAATGTTGAAGTGGAGGCAATGGGTATGGGCAGGGGATAGGGGCATGGCTAAGGATCTAATAGAAAATCTGGTACTCAGCTTATGCAAACCCATAGAGAAGTAAACTTGCTAATTTAGTATAATGTATTTTGAAGAAGACTGTAGGTCAAGTTTTAAGTTGAATAAGGCTTGAATTCCCTATTGCCACTCTAACAGCTTACTCATGAAAATATGACTTCTGAATGATACAGTTGATGTTTTTAAAAGGAGAATTTTTGTTTCAAATTATATTATCACCGATAGAAACTGAAAAAATAAGAACAGCGAATCATGAATTCCTTTGAAACTGTTACCCTTATTCTTTAGCCCTCCTCTCCTCATGTTTGTGGAGGATTTCTTTACTTCCTTTACATTTACATTTCCTTTACATTTCTTTACTTCCCCTGAGGGCAGAAGACCTATCACGTGGTATGGCATGGTAACTCTCCCTCTATCCCAAAGACCAATGAGGGTGAGGGGAAGGGGACAGATTCTGCTTTCCTGATGTTAGACCAGACTTACCAAACCTTAATTGAACTGATTTACTAGTGAATCAAAATGTAACGAAGGAAGAAACAGTTCGGACGATGGGCTAAAATGTACCTTCCTCAAGTCTAATGTCAATTCAAAATCAGAGGGTCACGGAAATCTCTAACAGGTGAAAGCCAAGGTTAATCAAGATCTCCATATATACAAGACAAGACAGTCAGAGAATCACAGAACTTCAGAGCTGGAATGGAGTCCAGTGCATTCCCAAACCATGTGGAATCTTTTCAGCAACACAAGTGATGAATAGTCATACAATCTCTGCTAGAATCCAAAATCTATTTACATTTCTAAGAATTTGAAACTTTTATTTCCTTCATCCGAGCTAATACATGTGAAACATTTCATAAACTGTACATGTTACTGAATAAATATCAGTTATTATAATTACTCATGGAACAGAATAATAGATATTGCAAAATGCTAAATCAGCTATTAATTACTTTATTTGACTTTGAAATGATTTATATTCTGCAAATATTAGAATGAAGGTCATAAGGAAGGGATATATCAGGTTTTTAAACCTCTATGGTGATAGCAGATCTAGGAACAATGCATGGAAATCACAAAATGATAAATTTCAACCCATAGGAGGAAAAGGTTGTGAATATTTAGAGTTGTCCAAAAGTAGAATGAGTAACTCCAATTAAGTCACTATCCCATTCATTACAGCAAGGTCTTTGGAATTGTTGAAAGGGAAATTCTTCATCTGGGCTTTCACTCTGATTAGAGGCAAAACTAAGGACAAAGAGGATTAAAGGAGTTTATTACAAGTCAAGGTAGAAACACATCACTGGAGATCAGTGATGGCTTCAAGGTTAGGCCAGTTTTTATTGGGAACTTTCATATGAGTAAAGACAATTCAGATGGGTCAATGTCAGCAAAAGAGGTTGCGTCCTTGCATCACAGGTAATGCAAAAAACTGCAGACTTGATTTTCTGTTGCCTTTCCTAACAGAACCTCTCCCAACCCTGGGAGTCAACCCTGATTGACAAGTTGGGCTGGGAACAATAGGTCACTGAGTCAACATAACTTTCAATGGTATACACCTCCTCCTCTCTTCTGATACTGTCACCCCCCTGGTATAGGCCCTCATCAGCCCACACCTGAACTATTGTAAAATGTTTATGTCCCTTCTCCGAGTGTTTCCCCAGTCCAGTCCACCCTCCACTCATCTTTCAAATTAATCTTTCTTAACACATAGGTCTGACCATGTCATCTCACTCCAACCCCATTCTATAAGCCCACTGGCTCCCTATTACTTCTAGAATCAAATATAAAAACCTCTGTGTGGTTTTCTAAGTCTTTCACAATCTGGTTCCCTCCTAATTTTCAATCCCTACACATTCTGTGACCCACTTACCTTTGTCTCTACTCTTCCTTGAAGAAGACACTACCTCAGACCTGTACCACTGGGCAGTAAATAAGGGCCAAAATTAAAATAGGCTAAACTTCTTCAGGCCACAGATAGGTTAGACTGGAGACAGCCTGGCAATAGTTGGTTACCACAGGTCACGTGACAAATAGAAGAGCACAGTAGTATCCTACATTTTTCTTTTCTTTTTTTAAATTGTTAATTTATTTGTTTTTAGTTTTCAACATTCACTTCCACAAGATTTTGAGTTCCAAATTTTTCCCCATCTCATCCCTCCCCCCACCCCAAGATGGCATGCATTCTGAATACCCCTAATCTGCCCTCCCTTCTATGTCTCCCCCCCTTCTCTTATTCCTTTCCCCTTCAATTTTCCTGTAGGGCAGGATAGATTTCTATACCCCATTTCCTGTATATCTTATTTCCCAGTTGCATGTGAAAACAATTTTTTTTTTACTTTTGTTTTTAAAATTTGGGGTTTCAAATTTTCTCCCATCATCCCTCCCCACCCACCCTCATTGAGAAGGCAAGCAACTCGATACAGGTTATACTTGTGTAGTCATGCAAAATACTTCCATAGTAGTCATGTGAAAAACCAAGTATATTTCCCTTCATCCTATCCCTTCCCCCATTTATTCTATTCTCTCTTTTGACCCTGTCCCTCCTTAGAAGTATTTGCTTCTGATTACCCCCTCCCCTAATCTGCACTCCCCTCTATCATCCTCATGTTCTCTTGTCCCCTTTCCCTCCTATTTTCTGTAGAGTAAGATAGATTTCCATACCCAATTGAGTGGCTATGTTATTCTCTCCTTAAGCCAAATCCGATGAGAATAAGATTCAGCATTCCCTCTCACCTTCCCCCCATTTCCCCTCCTCTGTAAAAGCCTTTTCTT